AAAACCAGTGTAGCTGGGGTTCCTGGCATGAATCACACACAACCTTTCCAAGTCAGTTTAACTGTGAAACAAGGGATTTGGATTAGGTGGTATCTAATAATATATTATTAGTACTATCATTATATAGTACCATGGAGCAGATACTAATAAGTGAGCAACAGGCTGCATTGTCTGGAGGTTAACTTAACTCAGGTTAAGACAGTTTTATACAATACGCACTAACAATGTTTAGGTTTTAAAACGGTGTTGCTTAAACTTGGTGATGAATCCTTCTTAAAAAAAAAGTTTCTTGGACTCTTTGGAACACATTTTTGAAACCTAATTTGAGAAACACTGTTCTAGAATCTAGAAGACCATGTACTCTCAATGAAGGTGAGAATTGGTTCTTAAAGAAGTAAAAAAAAATTTAAAAAATCTTACTTTTTAAATGTATAATGCACAGATATACACAAGAACATATATCGTATATCTGTATTATTATTATTACTGTTATTATTGAGATGGAGTCTTGCTCTGTGGCCCAGGCAGGAGTGCAGTGGCACGATCTCGGCTCACTGCAACCTCTGCCTCCCGGGTTCAAGTGATTCTCCTGCCTCAGCCTCCTGAGTAGCTGGGATTACAGGCACAGGCCACCACACCTGGCTAAATTTTTTATTTTCAGTACAGACAGGGTTTCACTATGTCGGTCAGGCTGGTCTTGAACCTTGCGATCCACCTGCGTCGGCCTCCAAAAGTGCTGGGATTACAGGTGTGAGCCACTGAGCCTGTAGTACGTCTGCAGTATACTACAGTATACTGTATTATTATATATATAATATCTGTAGTATTAAAATTTCACAGGAGGGGACAAATAGAAAAAAACAAGTCTAAAAAGGCTTCCTGAGGGAAAGGAAACAATAATGAAAGAAAAAAGTTAAAAATCACTTTTCTAGACTACGCATATCAGACACTTAGTGGTTTTTTAAATAAATAATACTAAAGGCTGATAAACAAGTAATTCCCTCTTGAAACTACTCTCAGTTGCTGGCTGTCACCAAATATTATTTCCTTGTATATATTAACTAATAGAGGATCTCTTCTCTGCTAATGATTCTGACTTGACTTAGATTCCAAATTCTGCTTTATACCCTGTTTAAATGTTTATATTGTGTCATGATAAATTGTTAAATATTTGGATTTGGCTGGGCGCAGTGGATCACACCTATAATTCCAGTACTTTGGGAGACCGAGGTGTGAGGATCACTTGAGCCCAGAAGTTCAAGACCAGCTTGGCAACATAGTGAGATCTGCTCACTATCTCTACAAACAATTAAACAAATTAGCTGGGCATGGTGGTGCATGCCGGTAGTCTCAACTACTTGGGAGGCTAAGGCAGGAGGATCACCTGAGCCTCAGAAGTCAAGACTGCTGTGAGCTGTGACTGCACCACTGCACTCCAGCCTGGGGGACACAGTGAGACCCTGTCTGTTTACAAAAAACAAACAAAACTGAGTTTAAGGATATAGATGAAAGTTTAGTGTGTTCTTAAAAAATGTGTTCCGAGAATGGCTTGAACCTGGGAGGCAGAGGTTGCAGTGAGCCAAGATCGTGCCACTGAGCTCCAGCCTGGGTGACAGAGTGAGACTGTCTTAAACAAAAAAAAACAATGTTCATTCATTCATTGATTATCTCAAAAAAACGTGTCGAATGCCTGCCATTTGCACATGTTGAATACCTGCTTTTAAGAAGTGTATACTGTATTTGGACAAATTATGCTTTATCTATAAATAGAGAATTTTCTTTGAATAATAACTTCAGTCTTACAGCCCAGGGCTAAAGAGGCAACCAACTTCTTTTGTTTTTATTGTATTTATTTATAAATTCATTTCAATAACATTTATTTAGGGATTATTAGACTCTATTAGGAACTTTGGAGGATATATAGGCCATGGCATTTTCCTTTTTCAGGTAGATAATAGGACCCGACTCACTATAGTATAAGCAAGAATGTTCAGTATACGTAAAAGAGACACAAGTGAGGTTCTATGAGAGAACCCAAGAAAAAGAGGTTAATTGCACTTGAAGGAGGAGAGTTACTATAGAGGAAAGTGAGGCACATTGAAAGACCTCTAAGTAATGTTACTTAAAAAGTTGGGTTTTTATTAACAGTGTCTAGGAGTTATAGGTTACTTCTTTCTAAATGACATAAAATATTTTGACAAATAACATTCTCTATATTTCACAATATCCTACTGGGATAGAAAGAGGTAGATGCTGTTATTCTCATTGAATAGAACAACCCAAAATACTTTATAACAAATCCTTATATTTAAAAATTTGACATTCCAAATTTGATTGTTCACAGAGTCAAAGAGGGTGTGTGTTTGTGTGTGTGTGGGAGAGAAATAGCCTAGTTTAATCATTATTATCAAAGCTAGCTCTAGTTTTTATAAAGGAAGTTCTTCGTATTAGATCATATAGTTTTAGTGACTAAATTCCAGGATCTTAAAGCCAAATCTCAAATAGTCAAAATTTGTGTTTATCCAGCTAGAAAAAAGTAAAAATAATCATATCTATCTATGTTTGCCCATTTTGTTCATTAGCATTTATGTGAAATTATTAAAAAATCCCAACTTCAATAAATATTACTGGGAGTATTAACTTCTTTGATACTTACATATGGTTCAGTCCTCTTCTGACATTTCCCTATAACAGTTCCAACTCAAAGTCTGGAAAGAACTGACTAATGAAATTTGATATTTACTTTTTAATGTATTTGCTATAAAGCATAGAGTTCTTTTTCTGTATGGAACTGAACAAACAGACTGGGACTAGGTATGAGTCTAAGCCAGTGTTCTGCAGAAGAAAAGTATAAATGGACAACTGGAATCAAGTGGCTCAACCTAAAGCACAAGAGAATGCTATTTTTTGAACAAAAAATAAAATAAAAAAAATTGTAGACATAAACTTCTGAGCTTTATTCGTATATCTCCAAATGCCTGTTGGAGATAGCCACTGAGTGACCTGTTAATCTCACATTGGAAAAAACATCTAACATCAGAGTCCCAGTTTTCCTCAGTCACTGCCACCAAGTCTCTCCATTCTCTGATCACACCATTGCTTAGAACGGAAACCTTGGAGTCATCTTTGACTCCTTCTTTCCTGCCTTCTTGCAGACAGTCATTTACAAGGACCTGGTCCCAGTTTTTTGTTTATACTAGGGGTTGAAAACTGGTAGATCACAGTTTTCTGCCCACATCTCTTTATGTATGTATGTGTATATTAGATTATGATACTTTTAAAAATTGAACAGGAATTAATTCAATGATTCACCCTTTGTGTGAGGCATGCCCTCTCTAGTTAGCCATTGCCTTATTCCCCTCCATTCCTCCAGCTTTCTGTCTCTGTTCTTTATTTTACAAATGTTGGTTGAATTGTTAAAGAATGGATTCAAATCTTACTCATGGGAAAATGAAAAATGAAATTGGCTGCATCAGAATATCCTTTGATTTGGATTTTCTAGTAATTTGATACAGCGGTGGAGAAGGATTATGATTTTTTTCTCTGAAAATAGAATGCAATTATCATAAATTATTATTATTTTTTTGTTTGAGACAGGGTCTCACTCTGTCATCCAGGCTGGAGTACAGTGGCTTGATCACAGCTCACTGAAGCCTTGACCTCCTAGGCTCAAGTGATCCTCCTGCCTCAGCCTCCAAGTAGCTGAGACTATATGTGTGGGCCATCATACCTGGCTAATTTTTATTTTTTTGTAGTGATGGACTGTCTCTGTGTTGTCCAGACTATTCCTAAATTCTTATACCCAGAATTTCTAGTTAGAATTTAAATCAGAGAAGTGTTCCATAGGACCTCAGGTTCTTTTGGGGGATTATTACTTTTTTCTAGCAGGAATAATTGCTATGAGAAAGAGCCACGGTGGGGCAAGAAGAGGATAGAATACTGAAGAGCTCTTCTTTTCCTTAGTTCAAGTGGAAATGTTCCCTCTTTTAGAAAACCCTGCTGATATTTTCAATTCATATTCCCTGGCCACCGCAAATTGGGTAAACTTCCTAGATCTGTGAATTCAATGGAATCACTATGCACAGGAACTCTGAGTTGTAGCTCTTACCTCATATATCAAGTATTTCAATTGCTGTATTATGTGGCCTGGTTTGAAAATGGTAACACTTGTCAATATTCATAAACTCAAGAATTACTCTTATTTTGTCCTCATATACCCAAAAGTGAGAGCCACAAGGCACTAAGGCATCTAGATGAAAAAAGAAACTCAGCAAAAATATTGGATTAAAATAGTTGTCCTCCACTAATTTCTTGTAAAGAAGTTTCACTCAAATGTATATGTTTGTGTTGCTGAAGTTTGTTGAATTCAAATTAGTACTAGAAACTAACTCTACAGGTACTAGAAATCAACACACCACTTACGGTGATAATTTTTTTTACATACGCAAGTTTGAATTCCTTAAGAAAACAACAACATTAACATCTATGACTCATAAGGTGATTCAGAACAGATTTTAAATATGACGTTTTGGGGGGGATATCTTATCCAATTTACCTTATTTTCTTTTTTAACTTACACATCAGATTATATTAAAATGTCGGTCCAATAAATTCTAAAAGAATTCTTTCAATAAATGTCAAATGAAAATTCTATGTAATAGGAAAGCTCTATGTAATAGTTTAATTAGAAGCCATTTTTTCTTTAGTAGCACATGCAATTGATGACTTTTTTTGTTTACATAAAATATGGTGATACTCCATACCTCACAGGATTATTATGAGGGGTTAAATAGCTAATATAAAGAATAATTTAAGGTAGGGTCTAGCATTTAATAAATGCAAAATAAATTCAGTAATTATACCTGACCCAGGAAAAATGACATCATCTTGGAATAAAAATACATTATTAATAATGATATGGTCTTAATTATAATACAATTTTACAGGTGCTACCTGGCTGTCAGGATGAAGTCATTCTTTTCTACTTACATTGCAGTCACGTTTGAAGAAACTGATGGAACAGCTCGTAAATTGGTTTCATCACAGTCAAGCTCCAGACCTTGGCAAAGACATTGCACTGGCACAGAACCGACCACTGAATCAAGGGGAAGTGGTAAGGCATGATGACATGAGGGGCCAGAAAGAGGAGGGTAATGAAAAGAAAGAAATGAAAAGCTATGAGAAAATCATTTAGTACAAAAGCATATCATGTGTTACCTAGGCAATTTAGGCAATGCTTTAAATTAAGGTTTCAAAGTTTGCTTTTAATTTAACCTTAAAATGATGGTAGAACATTAACATTTGGAAACACACACTTACCAGCTCATGCATTTTTTTAAAATAGCAGACTGTTCTCCATTCATTGCAAAATGAATGAAATAATCTGCTCTTATACCACTAAGGATTGACATGATAATGTGTGATGAGGCTTAATGTTCATATTACAACTGCCACTTAAAAATAAAGTATTTATTTTAGCATAATCAAAACCTTTAAAGGAGGAATAAATCACTTTTAACTAGCAAGAATGAGAACTAAAGGCAAATGATAGTGTCAATAGTTTTTTTTTTTTTTTAAATCAGCAGTTCTTCAAATAATTTTAAAAAAATCTTTTGGCTTAAATAGGGGTAAAGCATGAATAAAAGTTTACTTATAGGAGTGACAATTTTTCTCCTTAGGATTCTGTTTTCACTGACGTTGGGTGTTGGAAAGAGAGGGAGAATGAGGTATATGACCTTGGCTATCTTGTGAGGCTGTAGCGATAGTGTTAGGATGTGAGTCAATACATCTAAAGTCTATTAGAGATTTGCAATGATGTATTCATATAGCTAAACAGAATAATGAGATTATTATTTAGGATAATATATATAGTTTGATTCCTGCTCCGATGGGGAATGGCCAATTCCTGAGAGCAATAAGAAATGTTCCCCCCCTCTACATTGACCTCTGGAATCCTAACCCATACCGCAGGGCTTACAGACTCCAGTGTCTCCAGCGGACAGGCAATGTCACTTTAGACTGTGTCCAGATGTCCAAGTGCAACAGCTTCTCCCATCTGTTGCCATATTAGAATAGGAACATGTGTAGCTACATCCACCAACTTCTTCAAAGAAGCCAGAAATACAATGTTTTATATATGACTATCTATTTAAAAACTGATATTAGCTAACTGAAAACATTTAAAAATATTGGACAAACAAAACTGTCTATGAGAGTTTTCTGCTTGTAGGTTTCCAGTTTCTGACCTTTATGGTGAAACTTGCAGAGCAGGCAAGTGTCTCAGTGGCTAAGCGGAGACCGCTGTGAATGACTGTTCATGAGGAGTTTTTGGCTCAGATATGGGGTGACATGTGTTCTTCCTTTCTTCCCAAATATCTCCAGAGACTTCTTTTCAGGGTTACAAGAGATCAGGACCATAACCTAGATTTAGTGTTTAATATAAACAGAGTATCTGCCAAGAACTTTAAAACAGTTTTATAGTTGCAAGTACCCACTTTGGTCGTGGATGTCTAAAAACTGATGCTGCCTCTTTAAGTTAAAATCATATCTCATGTGAGTCTATGTGTATGCTGTGGGGATGGGATGGAGAAGGTTGGGAAGGAAGATGAAGATCTGGAGAATGAAGTAGGAAGGGCAGAAATGGACGGCAGTCAAATTGGCGCTAACCCCAGTGCATTTTTTTCATATATAGAGACTAAATTAAGATAATCCATATATGTTGATTACAGGGTTATCTGCAATAGGGAAAAATGAAAAAACAACACGTAAATATTCAACAGCCAAGGAATGATTAAGGAAATTAGGTCACTTACAAAATATACTATTACATGGTATATTTTAAAAGATGTTGTGGTAATATGGATACCTGATTATGCTGAAATGCTAATTGAAAATTTGATACAAATGGTTTGTATAGGAAATTTCAACTATGTTAAAACAAAAAAAGACGAGTAATGCAGTAGCAAGTTAATGCTGGTAGCTTCTGAATGGTCAAATTATAGTTGAGTAAGTAATGCTTTCTAAATCTCTATACTTTTCAAATTCTTTAAACTTAAATTTTTAAAATTATTGGTTCATTATAGGTATTATATTTTCCATGACATTGCTCTTAGAGATGACTTTAATAATGTGAATTCTGCACATTATTTTATCTAGTCAAAAATGACTATAAGCTTTGCTCAGTTTAATTTCCAATCAATTCCTACAATAATCTGCTTCAAATAAGGTGGGACACTAGGAACTTTCACTTCCATTTTAACCGCAAGTTTTACACTACACTTGCCATCCTATTTTTACATTGGGTTACAAGTTTAAAAAATATATTTAGTTATTAGCTACACTCACCTCCCACAAATTGTCTTTAAATAACTTTAAATGATATATTTGTTTTTGTTAAGTACTGATGAAAAAAATTACTTCTTTTTTTTTAATACAACATTTATTACATAGCCTCATTCCTTTTATGTAATTATACTCGTGACAAACGTCTTCCAGGGTGCAGGATCAGGCAAAAATATATTTCTCTTGCTGACTTGTCTGGTTTTTCCCCATTTGTTTGTTTTGCTTTACAAACTATGAGAGTTATGTAAGTCATTATTTTCTCTCTTGGACTTAATGGCTATGAAATTCATAACTATGCTTTGGATGAAGTCACTGAACTTCTCTCAGGAAGGATTTTCTTAATTTTTCTTTGTCATTTGCTTTCCATTCACCACTGAACTTTTGTCTTTTATATCATGTTAATGGTTTAAGGCTTTTAGTAGCTGTATTTTAATTGCTAGTTGCTGAAAATCGTTTTGGGAATAAAGTGAGGTATTAAAAGATTCAATTAAAATTTAAGAACTAGACCGGGTGCGGTGGCTCACACCTGTAATCCCAGCACTTCGGGAGGCTGAGGTGGGTGGATAACCTGAGGTCAGGAGTTCAAGACCAGCCTGACCAATGTGGAGAAACCTCGTTTCTACTAAAAATACAGAATTAGCCAGGAGTGGTGGCACATGCCTGTAATCCCAGCTACTTGGGAGGCTGAGGCAGGAGAATCACTTTAACCTGGGAGGCGGAGGTTGCAGTGAACCAAGATCATGCCATTGCACTCCTGAGTCTGGGCAACAAGAGTGAAACTCTATCTCAATAAATAAATAAATAAATAAATAAATAAATAAATAAATAAATAAAATTAAGAAATAAAAAGAAAATATGTGATAAAAGAAAAAAACTATTTTGAGACAACATGGTTTAATTCATTATTTTAAAAATTACCAGTTAAATCATATCTATTAACTTTCTCCTTTCCCAAAAACTTTTAGATGCTTTTATTTTTCCCCCTCTGAGAGAGGGTTTTGTTCTGTTGCCCAGGCTGGAGCACAGTGGCTCAGTCACAGCTGCAGCTTCAATCTCCTGGGCGCCTGAGGAGCAAAGCTAAGTTTGAATTTTTTTTTTTTTTTTTTGGAGAGATTGGGGTCTCAACCAGCCAGGTTGCCCAGACTGGTTTTGAACTCCTGGTCTCAAGTGAGATCTTCCTACCTCAGTCTCCCGAAGTGCTGGGATTATAAGTGTGCGCCACTGTGCCCAGCCAATTTTTAGCTTTTTAATGGACATCTTATTTGGTCTTCCTCTAAATAATGGCATGATGCTGAGACAGATTGCTGAGTACCCCGTGAATCTCACAAGAGTGACATCTATCCCCTTAAACTGGGGATTGTTAGTGGTTTTTGATTAACCTCATTTGAGTAGTGAAGACAAAAAACGTTAAACATTTAAAAAGCTAGACTTTACAATTTATGGTAGAACATAAAGAAAAAAATAAGGATTTCTTCCTCTATGCCTTTTTTTTAAAAAATAATTTTTGCAAGAGAAAAAACCTTATATTTGCAACAGGCTATCTATAGCCTCCTATATAGACTTCAATAATCCTTACATTTTAATATTTCATATTTTGTTGATCTACTAATTTGACACTACTATTTGATATGAGGCAATTACCTATTCATCTTAAATGGTTTTACGAAAAGGATATGACTGGGAAGGCACTATATAAGAAAAAAAAGACAGAGGAGGAGCTGGCATTGCCAGGTGATATGAAGAAACTAACTAGATATATGACATAAAATTAGTCTAAAATAAACTCTTAGTCACCTCTCCACCATTTTGTTGTGTATAGTCATTGATTGCTCATTCATGACTGTTTTCCATTCAAAGCTGCCCAGATAATGCTTTGAGAAGGTGGGAGTGATGTAAGTTGTACAAAACACAGAGAACAGAAAATGTGATGAGTACGAGAATTGAATAATTAGCATTTTCTAGGGCTAGAAAAAGGTAAACTGTCACTGTATAAACATGTATTTTCTAGAACTCATAGTGTAAAATTTTACTCTTTTAAATTATTGAACTATACAATAGTTAAATCATTGCCTACATAATATATTGTGCTTTTATCTATGACTAAAGACATAATTTATGATAATGCAACTTTAGAAAAATAATGTTATAAAATAACTACCTATTTGTTATTAAAATGTAGTTATTATTATATAACATTTACATAAATAAAACCTCAATTATTCAGACATATTGTTAATCTGGCATGCTTCAGGATCAAAAAGGATAAAAATAAACCATGAATTTAATACCCAGCAAAGAATTCTGTGAATGTTTTTATTGTTAGCTAAAAAACTAAAAGTTTTAGCTGTAAGAAAAATTATTATAAAAAATATATGTTTAAAAATATACTAATTCAACTGGGCTTTAAAAATTCAACTGGGTTTTACTGTAACCATAATCAATCCATGAAATATGTATGTTCCTGGGCAGATACAAAGGTGAAAAATGAAACAAAATATCCTATCTGTAGCCTCCCATAAAGACTTCAACAATAATTTATTGAGTGCTCACTATGTGCAAAGCACTATTTTAGGCACTAGAAGAGCAGCAAAAAAAAAAAGTACCTATTGTCATAGTGCTTAGGATCTGATGAGATAATTCATACACCACCACAACCAGCACCACTACCGCCAGCAATTATGATAGTGCCACCTCAGAAAATAACACAGAGTAAGCTAATAGAGTAACGAGGGGAGAGCTGAGGACACTGCTGTTTTATACAGTGTTATCAGT